AACAAATTAGAACGACCATCTGAACCATCAGATGATTCATGTCCCACAGACGTGGCGTATAGATGGTCCAAACCAGTTGAAAGGCGAAATTTATGGCACCCGGCACAAGGACTACGAAGCAGTCAATCAAAAGAAGGCTGATATAAATTTTCACCCATGGAATTTCTTTGAACGCACGACGGAGATCGCATAACATCTTTATCAAACAGTGGCGAACATAAGTTGCAGCATGAACTGATTGTGTGCCATTCAGATCCTGAAAAATAGCATAACAAAGAAGCCATAAATTCGCTGAAGAACTGAGAAGGAGAATGTTATATCAGGTTGTACAGCTCAGCCGACAAAAACTTATGAACTTTTAGTGAAAGCAAAAAATCTCACATCTGACTGAAACGAGAAATTTGGGTTGTCATTCCAGAGAGGACAAATCAAAAGCTGAAGTAAAACACACTAGTAATGGTACATATTAGGGGATTGATAAGTTCATCAACACATCGATGCGTACTTAGATGGAACACTCTTGATAGCGACCAAACTATTTCTGCACACAGAATTCGCTTCCGATAGAACGCTTAACGCAATTAAGTCATCAATATTTGCTGAAAATCGTTTCAATATCTAAACAAACTTCACCATATTATTACATTTCATAGTGAAGCTAAAGAATTCGCTAACCTGCTTTATCAGTTATACCGGCTACCAGAGAAGCAGACGGACTAGCCGTCAGCATTGTTAATCTCAAAATGTGCCACCTTCTGTGTGGTAAGAAGACAGACGCACGAATGCTTTCCACCCGAACAAACCGAAAATGCTCCTTGCAAACCACTGGAGTGAAAGTAAGAGAGAGGAATCCCAAAGGTAAATGTAATATAATGCTTTTGTGGGGAAACATTCACCTTAAACCTGCCTCAACTTAGAAAAAACCTCGGTGCAACAAAGAGTAAGTGTCCGCCAAGAATTTAGAGGATTTGCATCTGCCGATTACACTCAGCTGTCTGTATCTCACAGGTGCCTAATGTATTTATCTCAGGATGATGTCGTCTGTAAAAAAATGAACGTGCATCTCGATTATAATGGTGCCGACGACTGCATCTACAAAGGATGTTGTGGTAGCAGAGGTGTGCATTGGTGGAAAGAACTATTTATCGTTTTTCTTTCGGATTAAGCACCCAGTGTGCTGTCAGGAGGATCAATAGTCCCTGGTATTTGTTTATGGAAGAACAGTTCTCAGTTTAGCTCATCCTTGCTCGACCTGGATAACCATCAATCTAGAATAGTTCCGTTCCAATTTCCAAAATTCGTCTTCTAGTGTCATGTCCACGGTTGACCGTCATTTCTGGTCCTCGAATCAAAGGAAATTTTCCAAAAACTCAAAGGTGTGCACTAGTTTCGTCATATTCCAGATACTGATTTTGCGCGCCTTTGTGGTAGGTCCCAAGATGATTGGTTCCCCTAATATACCTTAATGCGGTTGGCCCCTTTCTTACTTTCTGTTCGGAATGCAATATGATAAGGGCGAAATAGTAAAACTTTGTCAAATTTCTCAAACACCAAGGCCGTTCTTGGTGCCTGTTTCCAGTTGGCCAGTGTGCATATGTTGTTTGACGTTAGAAGATATACCCAGCTTTGTGTTTTTTCCAATTTTGCCAATAACCCAACTCATTGTGCGGTAGTCAAATTGTTCTCTATTTCTGTACGACCGAACTAAACAAAATTTGTGTATTTTCATAAAGGAAACTACTCACAACGTTGCAGGAAACAATTCAGCATCCCGCGATCGGTTTCGCCCCTCTTGGAGTATCATCGGATAGGCACAATGCTCGAGTTTCCGTCAACCTTATGTCCTACTTCAACCCAAACTGAACTGATTTTAACAGATACATTCATTTGCATATCAACTGGGTTTTCACGGTAGACTCAAATGAATTACTCGTTTACGACATTTATCGGTTGACTGTGCTGCACATAGGAACCTTATATTTCTGTTGGTATAATATTCGAGGCACAGTCTCCGAAATTCCATCAACTTTGCGTTCTGTTTTAACACAAATTGTGATATCTCGAATATCGTACCAACTGAAACATGAAACGGCTTTTGTGCAGCACATTCAGCTGAAGAATATCATAAACAGGAGTTTCAGTGGAGTCTCCCGTGAAGGCCAAATCGATTTGGAGCTGAGCGTATTTGTAGAAACTCAGTCACATTTTTATCGGTTAATATTATCATTTTGCACTCTCTGGATCTGATTTGTTCCATATCCCATTCCCGTGGCGAAGGACGCCAAATGGGCTTTACTGTACCACAAGACCCTTCGACGGAAAGACCATCAGTGTAGTCAAGCTCAAACGTCACTTACAGTCAGCTGTCCGTCAAACTACATAACAATCAAACATAAGTATTCTCTTCACGTTTTTGGAGAACATTTCACGATAATCCCGTTAAAGATGAGAGGCCATGGGGAAAACTCTTCGATTGACCCGAGGAGAATCTCCGTTTGCCACAGTCCTTATTATCACTTTAGATGATATACGGTTAAAAGTCGATGTAAGTAAAAAATGATGGAAAGTCTGAGCAAACATACCGGAGTTCTGTCGACTAGTGGGCATTTTTAAAAGCTAAGTATGTGGATGCCATACTTTTCCACAAATGATAGAAAACGATCAACAGAAGCTATAAAAACATCAATAGGACGAAACCCATCCACACCGATTGCATCCTTTGTTGGTAGTTGTGTATGACATATACTGGCATGTCAGGTATTCCAGATTCCTGAAAATAACCCCAGAATGCCTGGAACCTAGTGAAACCCGAAAACTCCACCAAAATCTCAGTAAGGAAGCGAACAATCATCCAGGCGAGTCACTTACTCCTTCAATGCAGCAAAAGCCGACGAGTGTTTAGGCATGCCACAGAAGTACGGCCGACAAGCATTGAGCATGTCATAGAAGCACAGTCGACATTGATGCATGTTCACAAAACGCCGATCAGACAGTCTGATCAATGTCGAAGTGTCATTTTAATAGCACGAGGTCGTTGTAACTTTTGCACCCGCTACTTTGCAATAAAGCGGTTGTGATCTTTATTGGCGAGTCTTTTTTCGGCGGTAAGGCAGTGGAGCGGGGACACCAGTTGTATATAAAACAGCTATAGGATTTCCGGTATCGGCGGTGATAACGAGTGTGGCAATGCGTCACCGGCTACACTCCTCCAGCGTGTAGGAGATTTGAGGGGGCAACTCAACGAATTTCAGCCCCCTCGATTTTCTGTCGGTTCCGTCAGCGGTTACTCCACGGGATCTTTGGCCACCAGAGTAAACGACTAGTAACTCTGGTCACACGCAGCTCTTAGTGTGAGCCTGCAAAAATGCAAAATTGAGTGAGCTAAAACAATGGACCTATTGGACTCCATAACAATGAATATTTGTGTGAAGACTATCGCCGCTGAAACGCACAAAAATAGAGAGTTTCTCTATAACCTAATGCATACCGGGAAATTCTCATTGGAGTGTCACCAACAAAAATTACAACAGATGGACTAACGCAGGCAGACTTTCTAGATAACAAATCGCCTCCCAGCGTCTCTCTTTAAGTTAGCAGTGAGACTAAACCTAAATGAAATAGTTCACCACCACTGTTTGAGTTGCTTTAAAACGACCGAGTTATTAGGTCCCCTCCCTCATCAACTCTTTTTCTCTTCTTTTGAATCTAGGGTTTTAAATATAATTAGACGAACCTTGTGGTCGTACGGCAGTGAAGCAGCAGCGTCAACATTGATATTGCTGTTTTTGATAATGATGATGATGATGGGCTCGAGATAGCTCAGTGGTAAAGGCGCCAGCTTACGGACCGGAAGGTCCGTGGTTCGAATCCAACATCAGTATCTTAACTGCTCCTGTTTCCATAATCCCTAGTGCCTGTACCTGGATTGTAAGTGGTGTGTTTACTGATTGCACGTCCAGTAGCATGACCTTACACACATGCAAAGTGCATATTTAAGGGGCGGAGGACTTTGATTAGTTTATCCAAAGGCGTCTGCGCCTTCTGCTCTTCGAAGACTAGAAGCATGTCGTCTGCATATTATAGATGGACGAGATAGCTCAGCGGTTAGAGCGCGAACTTACTGACCGGAAGGTCCGAGGTCCGAATCCGAACTCTGGCTATCTTGGTTTGAGCAACCTGGCAGTATCCCAGATCTCATGCCTTCTTCCGTTGACATGGGTGCATGATATGAATGCCCAATGTGGACGACTAAGCCCGAGAGAAGCACAACTAAGGGGTATATTTGAAGTCAATGCTCAGCGCATGGATAGCGTTGAGCGAGTGGTTTAGTTGTGTGCACATCATTGTCTGTTCCCAGCCAGTACGAACTTCCAGAGCAAACACTCAGATCGAGTTGCTTGAGGGCCTCAACCGCAAGACGGTTAAGGGCACAATTGGACCATGTGGGTATCAGTTACCTGGGTACGCAACTTGACTCTGATTATGCTACCGTGCGTACCCGGTTACCAATTCGCTTCCCGTCAGCATTTGTTGGGGATATCAATATCCCCCAGAAAACGCTGTTTTTATGTGTGCTAGCGAACTCCTGGCATCTTCAAGGTCAAACTATGAAAAATCAATGGCCTATTGATACTCCAAGAAAATTTAAATCCGACCACGTACAGGATACCATTATTCTTTCCACTGACTTGGGTTCGGAAGCTCCGGGCATCGCCTGTTGATCGTGTGTTGTTGGATTATTAAAGTTTGTGTCCGAGGTTCTCGTCTTCTTACTATTCGCCGTGCTAGGAGTCTGTATCAAGCAACATAGCTGGGGATAGAGTATTGCCACAATCCGCATTATCATATTGTTTGCTCGCTGCGTGACCGAACCGTAACAATTAGAGAACCGGGGATGAACCAGTTACAGGTCTTTTGAATGAGCTCAATTAGCGTCGGTATAAGGGTACCATGTTCTACCTCGCCACATCGTTTTTCAGCAACAAAAGACATATTTTGCAGGGGCATCCCGCCATTATGCGAGGTCTTTTTAAGTCCCATTTGAGAAATCGACAACTTTTACGGAAATAAGCTACATAATTAGCGGTAAATACAACGAGCCTGATGAAAAAACAAACACTCAGCAGAATGGATACATATGAACTTTTGAATGTCAGGTAGCGAGTACTGATTTCGAAAAGCTGTTATGCCGCATGAGTCATAACAAGACAAGCACAATAGCCAAAATGTTGCTCGGCCAGTTGTCACCGTAAACTTCTGTTTTTTCAAACAAATGAGACATCTGAAGATGTGAGAAATCAAGAAAATGATGAGACCGGGTAGTCTGAAGTAGAATGCAAGGATCATGAAGAGATGGGGTATCTCCACATAGAATGTCATGTCATGCTATTTAGGGCAATAAAGTCGTGCTGGACGTTGAAGAATGACAATCAGCCTGTCGGCCACCATCGCGGTTGAATGGTTTCAGTCACTTTGCGTCGTTTACTAGCTTGGTTGAATTGTCGTCGGCAGTGTCGTATACATGCTTTGCGATTTTCACCTCTGCTACGAGGACGCATACGTGAGCACCTTGAACGGCATTCGCATTTGATTATAAACTGATTCTGTTTGGCTGGAAAGGAAGAATAATATCCGATGTATAACACTGGCAACCCATGGTGGTCAATGGTGAAATAGATCAGCTGATTGGATGGCGCTATCCTTTTCCGCCTACTCTCAAATAGTTGAGAGCTCCATCAACTTACACAGGTGCAATGGAATAGAATAAATTCACGCGGCCAGTTATCAGCACGTGCAGCAAGCTCACTCTAAAAACCAAAGGGTAGTACGATCGACGGTACAAAAAGATGAATTCGTAGCAAAAAGAGGTAAGAGCAGCTCACGGAGTTCTACACTATGGGATGCAAAAAGTTCCCATTTATGTCACGACTACCTGTGTGTGTCTAAAAATGGAGACTATCATCTGATGTATGTCAACAATTGGAGTGACGATTTTACGACATGTGAACAGGCAGCACCCACCCTGTTCCGTGTATACCGGTGTTGAAAAAAACATTATTCTGACTATATTTCAGGTAAAATGTGGATGGTTTCAACAAAACCAAGCAAAGCTAGAAGGAAAGCACCTCGGGTATTGTAACTTGTACGGAAAATGGAACTAATTCCGAAGTCATGGGTTAAAAATTTTTGCAGAGCTCTTTAACTTTTTGTAAAATAATTGAAATTTTTTTATAATTTTTCTCACAGACTTTTTGGAAGAATGTTCACAAGATCTTGGATAAACCAAACAACGACTGATATTTATGTGGATCACTTGAGCTCTTCGAGGAAATATTTGCCGCGTTATCAAGTTGTGCTCACACATGCGCAGCGACTGTATTCACCTCGAATCCACGATGACCTACCAGTCGGAGGATCGAGTGTTTGACTTAGGAAAGCATGAGTGCAAGAAAAACAATAAATAATCTAACCACACTCAAACAGCGTTGACGACACCGCGTAGTGTTTGACTTAGGAAAGCATGAGTGCAAAAAAACAATAAATAATCTAACCCCACTCAAACAGCGTTGACGAGGCTGACACTAGTCGAGTGTCCTGTGAAAACCCAGTCCATTTGCAAATTAGTGTATTGGTCGAAATCGGTCCGATTCGGGTTCAAGTAGAACATAATGTTGACGAAATCTCGTGGACTACGCTTACCAGATGGGCCCCAAGAAGGGCGAAACCGGTCGTGGGCTGTCGAAGAGATTTTCAGCAACCTTGTGAGTAGTTTCCTCTACTTAATCATACTTATGCTATGGTGGACAACTGTGCCGGTCAAATCGTACTGTGCTGCGCGAATTGATGAGCCATTGGCTGATCGCTCTACACGCACTCAGCTTTGTTCAAAACATGATCCTGACCAGCCACCATAACACTATGCCAGTAACATTGTTCTTATCGAATACGGTGCCAGTGCTATCGGGTACCGGCAGGTGATACTAATCACACAGTGGAGATGAGAAAAGCCATTCTATTATGAGAGCCGGATTAGCAAGATGGCGGATCAAGCACACATACAGATCAAATAAAGACGAAATTTCCAAGCCTAATTTGCCCTTAGACTGGTGGTTTCTTCAGTTCTCTTCTTTCTGTCACAACCCAGGAGATTTATGCTTTGGTGAACCATTTTTCAGCAAAAAAGCTTGCCTGTGTAGACCCTTGTATTTTTTTCAATTTTCGCTTAGTGAAGAGGCTAACCCATAGGGAATAAGGGAGATAAAACATCCTTGATTTGTAGAAAACACATATTTGAAGTAAAGCATTGGGCATCATGGTTCCTTAGAGGACTAGTCATGAAATGACGAGAAGCCAAATGGCGTAGAAGGTATTTCAAAGACACTAGTCAAATTTTTGAGGGAAACAGTCCCGGGAACCAAAACGATTGGTTCTGGCCTACGAGTGCAGTGACATGGTAACTCACGCGGTAGATGATTGATTCCTACAGTACTTACTCAAGAAACGGACAGCAGAAATAAATCCACGAAGGATTTTCAGGTGTAAATTAAACAATGCCCAAGTTTTTGACAAGTTTGCCTCAGCGGCGCTTGCAAAACCGAGAGATTAAGAGGGGTTTTTCTCACAACTACTTCAATTTCCTATTTTTCCGATAGTATCTCATGCAAACGAACTATTGTTAGGCGAGAAACATTTAGTGAGAGATCATTTTGCTTATCGACTCAAAAATATTTGTGGTCAAAGAAGTGCGGCCGCAACCGTTGTGGGCTAGTCCACTCCAAACGCAGTTCATGGAGTGCATATCATGGATCTAAAAAGGGACTCATATCTGACAACGTAGGACACTTGATAACACACTGATCTGTTTTTGGACAAAATAATATACTCAAAAGGTTCCTCTGCTCACCGATTCTGGACTTAGACGAATCTGTTAGCCAAGGAATATATATATATATATAATGTAAACAAAAGAGGAAGAATTAAGAAAGATGTACGGAGAGCAGAACGCCCCGTGGAGGTCCAGGATCTTTGGCTAAAACCGATATCTCTAAGGCCACCAGAGGACCTAGGTGTGAAGCCACACAGGCGTCTTTATAGCTGTGATGTGAACAAGAGGACATCGTTTACAATGAAATTTTCCGCGGATTTTAAAAAGAATTTTGGCAAATCTAGTTAGCGAAGGTTGTGACAACTAAATGTTTTGTCCAAGTTATTTGGCGTAATGTAAGACCGTCCATAGTGGTTGGGGCAACAATGAATGAAGTGTTCTCGATATGTTGGCTTTTTATTCGCTTTTATCACCGCATCCCATACAGAATACATTAGTGGAACGTCCCCTTGTAAATATACAAAAAATATCATGTACTTTTTGATTTTCCAGCGCAAAACCTTGTTATTTAGAAGTGGATATAACTGTAGCTCCATTTTTATCCATACGGGAAGCTGAAGATACTACTTCTTACCATCGATAACGAAAACATAAACACGTAAACTGATTTTTGGGGGCTTGGAAAATTCTTAAGTGTGATTTACCCAAGGTCACTTCGAGGAGTACGTAAATGTGGACAGTCAATGACCGGGTACCGGAAGCATAATGTTTAGTTCGGTTTATTCCTACCTGCACTGAGACAATACTTGTACACGATGAATGATATCCGTGGAATCTTCCGCAAGCCTTCGAATTCTCTTCGAATATCCAATTGCACATGGAAAGGAGCAATCCCGGTTGCTTTTCCTGTGCATGGTAGAGTTATTCTCACATCTGTGGAGAGAATCATGAAGAAAGGGTACGGGGTACGGGTAGTAAAGATGAAGAAACTGTAGCATAACCAAGTTTCATGTCAACTCGCTCGGTCGGATCACGTGTCTCCGGATGACAGGGATCTTGATCACCGGATAACGTAATTTGTCCCCCAGACTGGCCAGACAGTGAGCTATCATTGCTCGAACCATTTTCCGAGGACTGGCCGGTGGTGGAGCAATCGTTAGGTAATTGGCTGATAACTATTGGTCAAAGGGTACTCGTCGAAGCCCTATTGGGATAAGAAAATTGGTGTGCTCCGGCTTTCCAGGAAATAACCACATCTGTTATTCTCATTATGCAGCTTGCTTATTTCTTTTATTTTAGTCATTATACACTGATCCCAGGGTCTTTTGTACGGACCAAGATCAAAGTTTTGGCAGGCATAATTTTCAAAACTCATTGATTCCAGTTTTCCGTAGGGGAATTGGGTTTGTATCAAAGAAAAATGGTGCAATTCATCAGATTAGAGGTTTTCAGCCTTATTCATTTACCACTCTTTGCTCAATTTCCCACTGGTCTCTTTTATCACCAAATAGACGCATTAGGTGTTCCATACCTCTAGGCCCTGACGGAAATTCTTTATCCTCTTACAAGTTGACCTGGTAACACAGCCGAGTGCGGACAGTCCACTGCTACTTTCAGGAGGCCCCATGTCCATCTACAGCGAGTCTTTTGGTGAACGGAAGCTGTGCTTCGAAAAATACTTGTGAATGTCCACGCAAGATCACAGTTCGAATGGTAGGTCTATGCTGAAGCGAGACTAAAGCCTGTTGGAACAATTAGAATGAAGAACTATCTAGCTGTCAGGAAATTCTGCAACCCGCCATAAGTTGAACGACCAAGGTCCATTCAGTTGCACACTAAAGGTCGCACGGCGAATTCCCTCGTATTTTTCTTCTCATTCAGAAACCCAAATTCTCCTGGAGAAACCTCTTAGATGTCGCGGCCACAAAAAAAACCGGGGTCACGGACTAGGAACAAACACAGGTCCCTAAACGTTAAGTATTCTCCCTTCGCATCTACTACCCATGGAACTCCTTATTCTTCGACGTGGTATCAGCATTGGTATTGCGACCAAACAACCTCTGAAGCTTTTTCTGCGGATTTTCCACCAATATGTCCTCTAACTCTCGTACCCCTCCGACCATATAACAGATGCACTCTTGGAGAGACAGACAATGTGAAGATAAAAATATCTCACGAAACCCATGTGAACCCACCGAGCCATTTTTTTAGAACAACTGAACACTATGTGGATGGAAACTCATGTTGTCTGAAAACTAAAACGATTTGGTGGGCCGGTTGGCCAAGTAACAACCGCATCGTTTGGATGAAAGACATTGTTGTCGCACCGGCCCAAAGGATGAAATGACCCACCTACAACGTATAACAGAAAATTCCATTTGGGTTCTCTGACTGAAGCATACATTCCCGTCTGTAGTGAAGATGCAGTTCGCTGAACATTAGCCCTGTTTTTATTGTACAGCTGCTTGGCTATGTCATCAGACAAACAGGAAGGCTGGAATATAGGCAGATTTCGCACAAATGCCATATGGATGGATAGAAAATAAAACGGCGCAAAATCCTGTTTCTGGCTTTCGTTTTGTTGGATTCTACCTCTTGAATGAATAACTTATCAGCTGACGTTGACAGAAAGATTGGAAGCTACAATTAGTCTCCATTATAAATACCATGGCACTAAAACGAGTGTGAAAACCACATGCAACACCTTATGGTTCAACGGTTCAGCTTGTCTCCCGGAATATATGACTTCATATTTACCCTTAACAGAAACTGATTGCAAGAACAGCATGTTTCTGGCGTTCCCCAAAGCGTTTTTCTTAAGTAGTGTATGGTGTGTTTTTAATGGTAGCGCCGTTTTCGCTGAACTAAAGAATCTACTTTGCCATTTGTTAAAAGATTCACAGGAAGGAATCTCAGTTGAAAATTCTCAAATCTCACACCATCGACGATCTATAAGTGGCTGAGTGGATATGTGAAACCTCCATCTAAGAAGTTGTTGCTCGAGGACCCAGTCAACACGCGTGACCACGTGATGTGGGTCCAGTGGCTGAAGAATGAGCAGCTCTATATCTTATCTGGATGTGAGTTACTCACACTATTGGTCAGCTCGTTGCCGACCTCCCAACTGGGAGGTCGCGGGTTCTAGGCCCGTTAGACTTCTTTGAGATGGGCACTGCTGGTGATTCCCATTCAGGATGGAACAGTCATGCAGTGATTTCCTCCTTTTCAACACAGACTGACTTCACTTACATGCCGAAACCCCAATTAAACCGTCCCAATTCTCCGCACACCACCAATAATCCGTTCGTTAGTTTCGTTTTATTTTCTTCACAGTAGTCTTCTTTTGTGGCATGAAAAATGCAATGAAACAGTCCGAACGACATGACTGAATTAACTGCTGGTTCATCACATAAAGTGACCTACGAAACAATTGAGCGTATACCTTTTTCTGTCTACAGAAATCCTGAAAAGTTCCAAACTAAGATCTAAACAGAAATCCACCGAATCACTCACCCGAGGTGCTTTCGGGAACGAAACCGGACGGAGCGATGTTCAAAAGCGGTTTGTGAAGCAGTGTGTGATTCAGAGAAGCCAGCTCGATATTGTAGGTGAGCTTTTGAAAAGATGAGCAAAAAATAGAAAGATTTCACACAGAGATTACGGTGGGTGTATTCCGGTTGGCCATCTCAAAAGGTGACACATAGCTTATCTTTGTGTCGGTTGACGTTTAGTTTCCAACTGCATGAAATGTGTACGAATGTGCAAAAATCGGTACAATATTGTTCAAATGTTCGATGGTGACCGGGTACCTCCGTGGTTTTATGACCTTGTAAGGTCACGGAGTGCTCAGTTTCCTCTATAACGGAAACCTTATTTTCAAATTTCTACTTGTTCCGCGGAGTTTTCAAGAGCATTGCTCTTAAGCGAAAGTATAGCCCAAATTGAACAGGGTGATTGGATTTCAAAACACTTAAACAATCGCGGATATTACAAAGGGGCTAGAGTATGACTGTTTGCTGATTGTCCCAAATCAATCGGTTCGGTAAACCGCCGATGGTTCGTGCACGGTTCTAGAGTGCACCTCTGTGAATTGCTGCATTACTTACTCGTTCATAACCGGCTAACCATTTGGCACGAAGTACATCAATCCGTGGAGGAATGGGTCTCCGTTCACTGAGTGAGATTTTCTCCAAGACTTCTGTCAGTAACATTCCATTGAAGACCAGATAGAGTTGTTCCGGAACTATTTGTTTTGAAGGATGAGAGAAAAGTGTAGAACATTGTAAAGGAGAACCTCATTCGTGTACGGCAGTAAGATTAACGGTAGCAAAATATGTGAATTTCGAATGAACATCTGTGCTATGCACTGTGTTGAACACAGCAAAGGGTGGTATGAAAAATTCCAAATGTGCCAGAAAGCAGTGAATTTGGTTCAGTGATGTTCAAGCTTTGTGATCTATCGATCGATTTGAACAAGACAAACGAAGCTGTGAGCTTTATCATTCCATGTACTATTTTGCCAGAGGACGTGAAAACTCGCATAAGAGTGACATAATACCAGACATCCTAAACAATTTATACAAGCTTGAATCAATGTGAGCAAAACAAGAAAAAAACAGGAAAACTCGTGGCTTCGTGCCAAGTGTTTGGGTATCCTTTTCCGGTTCCATTGGAGTGAAAATGATACAGTAGGCTTGCAAAGCTGTACAGCTTGTGTTATAATGCACTAAGGTAGTTAGTTTTAAGATAACAACAACTTAAATATTCGTAATGCACTACTCATAAGGTTGCTGAAAATTCGCCAGCAACCTGACGAGTGGTGCATTACGAATATACATGTATCGCAATATCTCGAATATCGTAGTGACCGAAACATGAGACGGTCTGTTGCACCACATTCATTTGCCTAGCAAGATCATAAACGAGAGCTTCGGCTGGGTTCCAGGTGAGTCTCTCACAAAACCAAATTAGTTTGCAAATAAGTGTGTTTCGCTAACAACTTAAATACTTAAGACCACGCAGGCAGTCCAAGGGTTAAGCGTTGGCTTGATATCTGATAAACACTGCTTATCCTATTTCAGGAGAAGCCAACCCAATTTCTAGCAGATGGTAAAATATTTCGAAAGTTAGGTAGGTCGTTGTCCAGACATCTTGATCTGGAGCATCCAGCTGTTGCTAACAAAGGTAAACTCATTCAGGTCCTCAACTAAGGAGGTTTAATACGACCTCGGCCAAACCGACGATTTAAGGGAATTGCCGGAGTGTGACAGAGCGGATTTTCCGTCTCACTGGTTTAGCCTGGATGCCAAGATTCACAGGATCTGAGTGAGAGTTGCTCTAGAAATACGTCAGTGACTCCCAGAAACGAAACTATGTGTAGTGATCAATGTACAACGATGATGAGCAATGAAAACCGCAGAACAAAGCCAATCGTGCAGTGTTAAAAAACGAAGCTGCAAATTCGGATTCAGTGTGATAAGTAAACAGTTTGTGTACCAGCTTGTGGTGGTTCTAAACCATCGTGCACCGGTAATCCGTTTAGTTAGGAATAATCCCTGAATAGCGATTTTGTTTGTCTGAAGACTAGGTGATCAAGTATGATCCCCGTAAGGTAGACAAAGTTTATTCAAGTTTGAATCTCAGTGTGTATTAACAATTTTCTGTTCTGTCTTAATTCAGACAGCCTGTTTCTCTAGAAATTGCAGATGCATCAATAAGCAAGTAGTTCCATGAATGCCATAATGAAGACGTTGACAACTTAATGCGTTTGAACAATGATGCAACATACTGATTGAGTATTTTGATGTGACCAGGCAAATAATCTGTATCCTACGCTTAAGAACGGAGAAAATGGCCCGTTGTGTACACGATATTAAGAACAATTTCACATGGAGTTCATAGGGCTATATATTCTGAAGTAGCTAAGTTTGACAAGCTTAAGTCTGCGTGATGTGCAACTACCTATTTTGGGAGATCACTCTTTCGGTTACTTTTATGCTCTCCAAACAGGCTTGTCAGCTGCTGGTCTGTGAAGTACCCTCAACGTATTCGACGTCCAGGTTCAAGATCCCAGCTACCAAAGCAAACATAGTCATGCTCAATTGACTGGCTATAAATGAGTGAATCGATCTTGCGCATCGCATAAGTATAGTTGAGGAGATAGTAGATTAGAGGAACAAACAGTCTTGTGAAAAACAGCATCACTGTATGCATTGGCCTAGGTCAAGAAGAGAAGAGTGAAGTAAACACCCATGAAAAACGATAAAGATGCTTCAGAGAAATACACTTATTTGCGAACCAATGTCGTTTTGCGGGGGACTCATCTGAAGCCCAGCAGAATCTCCTGTTTGTGATGCTTTTAAATACTGTTAAACTTGTGTGGGGGAAAGCGACTTCTGGATGGTGGACAGGAACTCCCTATGTGAAAGTTGCCCAACATTTGCTCAAGGACATATTGAAAGGGCAAACACATTTTCTCTCGCCTTCAACGCTAAGCAGCGCACGACCAGAAGTTCACGAATGTTACCAAAACTCATAGGATTGTAGAGTTCGGCGTTTCATAATTGAGCTATGGCTATAGGTTTCTGTTAATCCGGGCCTTGTTCCCATCCGCATTCCTGATGACTTTTAAAAAGCACCTGATGTTGTCGGAAGGTAATATGACATAGATTCGGACAATGAAACTCTAATTGAGACTCCATGTGTCCCATAGATAAAATTTATACTTACAAACATGCAACTGAACATTTGCCAAGACAGTATCATTCAAAACCTGCAAAAAGTGTAGATCTCATTGTGGTCGATTGAACCATTGAGGAAGGCGAGATTTCACTAGTTCTTGCGTTATGAAAGTAGTCTCCTGAGTAGTCATCTATTGCCAGCGGTTCGATAGCCATATCGAGGGTATTTTTTCACCCTGAAGATTTAGAATTTTCAACAACTCCTGAATGAAACTGCTCACAAGGATGCTGAAAAAATATTCGACAGCCCATGATTGCTTTCATTTCTCCTGAGGCTCGTTAACTGAGTCTTCTGTAAAGGGTGGGAACTGTCGGTACAGTTGTGTAAACGGTTGGCTTATATGAAGTCCTCAAAGATTAACTTTAGATTTAACTTGATCGATCGAGTTCGGTAATTTCTTACACAAACTGATCACCAGAGGTCAGACCTCGATGTGTATCTAGGATGTAAAGGCATCAATAGATGTCTCCCATAGTTGGTTTGTCTTGTTTCACTTGTTTATTCGAAAGCCATACGGCCATTCTTTCGACGCGAAAGTCACACGGTTTGGTATAGCCCTCCAGGTCCATTGGGATGATCCAACACAGATGCACCGATTCAGCACAGGGTAGCGCGCTGAGTTGCACGATTTGACTTTAGGCGTCCCATCTTCTATGCAGCCAACGAGCTGCTCCGTCCGTTCCGATGCACTCAATCTGAACCATTGCGCTGAAAAATTGCTGAACTATATGACTTGACAAGGTTATGCGCAATTTACATGCTCCCACCTTCAGTAGTCTAGTTTCAGCCAATGATAGCTTAAACAGCAATGCTTAAAAGCGGAAGTCAAGAAGCAGATGGGTCACTTTCATTCCGTTTGACGTCAGTCTTAGGTTCAACTGTGCACGTGAATTCAATTGTTTTTATAGGAGCATAGACTTTTTTACACGCCCTATTGGTGGACAGCATATTGTATTAGCTATAGGACTTCCAAAAACAATGTGCTGAAACAACTGCTTCAGATGGGACAGTTTGACTTATTTTATTATGTCTTGTGTAAAATGCAGAATGGTTCCGGCTGTAAACTGGGAGGAAACAAAGTTAGAATGAAACCCCGTTGAAGCGGAGCATAAATGTGACAAATCGCTTTCCGAACCTTCACAAGAAATACCTTTTACCGTCATCATAAAGCGCAAAAACAATGGATGACATACACTTACTTTGATTCTGGATATCGGGGCGAGTTTTGGGGCACTTCAGTGCAACCGGAGAATTACCACTGATTGGCATGGATTCAACAATCCGCATCACTAAATGGCGATCTGCCCACAGGCTCAACTGTCCGCTGACTCTGAGGAAGACGTGGTAGTTTATGGCGGACAGATCGTCTCCACCAATCAGAAGAAGCAGCAGGAGAAGTGACGGTCGAAAGTGACATGAGTCACACCAATATTTTGGGGAAAGTGACATCACTGAACGGGGAATATACAGAAGAAGGAAAGGTAAGTTGCATTCAGAGGGACAGGAATGCATGGAACCCAATTGGCAACTTCGTAACGATGAGATGGTAAAGTAGATTACTAGTTGAAGGCCAAACAAGGCCTAGCTGGGTGAAACTCGGAAAGAATCGCTTCATAGGCTTGAAAGTATGCATCTACTGATCACCTGCATCTGTCAGGATGAATAGGAGGTTGCACAATTTTCAGTACTGGGTTCCTGTCAAATATCTATTGAAGAACTATACCCCAACGAATCTTGCCCTTTTGTGATTGTCTGTTCCAATAATATCTGCATCATTCTAGGCAAATAAAGGTTCCACTTCTGGTCAATTTGTCTGACACGGCCACAAGTCATGATGCGCATTACTAAGTACGGGGTACGCCTTGATCAGTATATAGTGACCCCAGATAACTGAGTAGAGTGGAATTCCCTTAAAGCGACAGCTGAGAGAACTAGGCGACACACCTTCGCTTCCGAAGCACGGACGCTTCAGGTTAGTAGCTCCCATTCAGCGAAGAATTCCCTTTTCTGTGATGAATTACGAGATTTTTGGGGAGACCGTCTCCAAATTCTGGAATATTCATTTCCGGACTGCTCAACCTTGATTCTATAGCACGTGGCATTCAGTTTGCCGCTGTGTAAGTAAAATGAGAGTGATGTTCAATTTCATTCTAATGGTAAGACAAACTTTCGAACAAGAAGGGGTGTAAGTTGCCAGACACGCTGACAGTCTCATTGAATGAGGGTTTAATCAACATGGTGTCTACACCTTCTTTTTGGAGAGGAAACAGTGCAGCCTGCTTAACTGGGCACAGGTTAGCAGTGGTTCTTGCTAAAAGAGCTGAAGGAAATCAGTCCGTAAAGCTCATAACAGAACTCTAGAAAAACCGAAAAATAGTCATCATTCTAGACGATGCTTTGGCCTACTGAGATACACCAGACAAGTCTTGCTATACTATATATTGTGAGCTTTCCGGTCAATTCATTTTCTTGTTACTGTGATAACTTTACTCATTTTTTACTTTTTGGGAAGATACCTCACTTAGTGTGTTGTAAAACTCATGTGTAACAAGATAGTGGGTTTGAATCCACAATCCAGTAAAATTGTGGGAAGAAAACTCTGAAGTAATTGACAAAACAGGTCTTTTCAAAGGACTGAAGGCAACTCGGTGCTCGCTCCTGCATAAAACTGTTTCCCCATAGCCTTACAGCTTGTTCTTTAGAACAAGGAGACGAAAAATCAAAGTTTCAGATGCAGAATGGACAAGAGGCCAGAGAAGTGTGAAAACTATGTGTCGTCCTTGCAGGAGGGACAAAGAAATGAAAATAAACGCAGCCGGAAAAAAACTCACCAGTCAAGAAGATTACTCGCAATGTAGAATTTCGAATGTTTTGTAATAGGACAGATGTGATGGGACAGATAAGAGCTAGCACAGTACTAGGTTACTTGGTAAGGAACAATTTGGCGAGTTACGCCGGGCTGCACGATGAAATCAACAATGGTACCATCTACGGATAAGCAAACAAAAAAATTCAGATCACCAGAAAACTAAATTTATTCTTTATCCCCTTTGATCATCAACTGTAAACCATCCACTCTCATCAGCAACTATCTCTGCCTCCTTTTATCCCAGCGTATCCATCCAAAGACTGCCTTTCTTCAATAATCTCTCCTCGCTCACTTACAAAACTGCTAATGTTGACAATCTGCAGGACGTTTTTATCTCTAATTTTCTTTATTATCTTAACTTACTCTGCCTCTACTTTACTAAATTTGCCCAAAACTTGAATATTGTGTACATGCCTGGGACGGCAGTCCTCCTACCCAGAAAGAATCCCTCTCCACCGCCATGTTGGCAAAATATCACTGAGTGAAGGCCTACATCATCCCGCACATCAGCAAGAGGCAGTCTCTCTCTTGTGTCCCTGGTAACACGACCTGTGTTCTTTGGGGTTGTTCTAATCGCTTTAATGTCTTCCCCACTGGAATTTGTGGGATCAGTTCCGGGTTCCACTTGGTCATCCGCACTTTGGACCAATCCAACCGCATCCTTTCTCAGGGCGGCCAAAAAATCCTTGCCTTTATTCACAACCCCTCTATCTGAGAAGCATTCTTTTCCGATTTATGAGTCGACCGGTACTTCATTTCTTGGACGCTTTTATTCAATATCTATTTGGTGCTACAAGAGTTGAGTCCTGATCTAAGGGTTTGCCCTATTTCGCAACCTGGCTTTTCATTTGCAAAACATAGCATTTTGAATTCCATTGCTTATATACAAAGTTCATCTGAGGTAACCCCTTTGCTTGTGATTCACAGCAAGGATGAAGTTTCGGTTTTTCAGCCCGGGCTTTACAGAAAGGTCGACGCTTCATAGTCTTTTTTGGCTTACTCTTGGCAACGTATTTAGTGTCAAAGGTTTGCAGAGGTTTTGGATGGAGCACTGGCCCCGTACTGGAAGACAATCTGCACTAGGCATAAAAAGTTTAAAGTACGACATAATAGCATATATCTATCAATCAGTTTGGATTCGAACCAGGTCTCTGCATCTCAACTGTCTAGACTTGGGCAACCTGGCAGTATCCCAGCCCTCGTGTTTCCTTCGGCTGTTAGGCACCGAAAGGATGTTCCGTTTGTTGCTTGGGACTGGTCAGATTTATTCTACGTACGATATTTTCCCCGTCGATTATAGGGATGTGATGGAACGATAGGTGATAGAATTTAAAATTTCCCAAATCCCTTCGTCTTGTTCATATTATCCCCAAGGATTTCAATTGTGTGGTGTAATTATAGTCGGGCTACATAACAATCAACATAACTACTGTTCCTGGAGCGGCTTTTCGCACATACCGTATTTATCTAAACTTCCCACTTCAAGATCTGTCATATATCCTTTAAGCACCCAACAATTTATGCAAAATGCTTTAGGACATCTGGGCAACATAACTCTCCGTCGTATTGTGGCGTTAACCAATGGCGCAGACAGATCTTGGTTGCTGCCACATTAGACAGAGGTGTGACGAATCATCTGCGGAGTTCTAGTGCATAAGTCGACGGAGAGCGAAAGCCTTAGGCTGTTCAGTTGATGCGGCAGCGGCATGTCGAAGGTTCGAGTCTGTCGCTTATGATTTCAAGATCCTACTTCTATGTTTTGTCCTTAAACCAGTCCGTTTGTAGTGATGGAACCTTTTGAAAGAGTTGTCCTGCTCAATTATATGATTGTTCTCTGCTTTGCGACAGAAGTAGTGATTTTGATGGGCAAGGTAGTTTGATTTCCACCCACGTAATCGCACGTAGGTGGTTCTTATGGTTGTATGTTACCGTAAACTTGTCACATCATATGCAAAAAAATACCACAGCTTCCTGCGCCATCCTGAAAAAAAAACGTATTGCCACAATTTTTTCTGGATACTTAACACCGGATTACGTAAGAGACCAGATTCCGAGATCTCTCTCTCTCTCTCTCACCAAGATTTGGTAGGGTGCTAGCTATTCCTAATTTCTTTAAAGTAGTCCCAGAGAAGTCACATGGTATCATTGACAGCAACAGAGTTTAAGCAAAGGCTCGGAAGAGAATTAGGACGGGTATAAGTAATAAACAGTGTGAATGGAGTTCAATCGACCTTAAACGGATTGGTAAAGGGCCACTGAACTTCTAGCCAAGGAATGGAAAGATGCGATTTTGCGACTAAAGGAGTGGATGTTATCTTGTTAGAGCTCATCAGCAGTGCATGGCCGTGCCGGGGTTTGAATTCCGGACACCTGACATGCGAGGCGAACGTGTTACCATTATTCCACCAGCGCACGTCGGACGCATCTGAATTCTCACGTCTGAACGGGCGAACGTGTTGGCACTTGAGCGATGTGATTAGTATGCCCGACACATCATCGATACGACGACCCAGTAACTGTCCTGGTTGTGACGATCGATTGGCCCGCTTGTCAGGACTGAACAATACACCTCCCGCAAACCCCCACATACATAGTCTGGACTTTTAAGCACACATTTTGGTGGCCAGAATTGTAGATATAATCATTTTTGGTGGATTTTGTGTTTAGAGGCATTTGGGGCGGTGAACCAAGTCTTTGTATCTGGTTAAAAGTATTCCCGTAAGAGCAAGGGGCTGTCATTTGAGAACAATGCCAGTTTAAGCATTATTTTAGGTGGTTCCATCGTTTTTCGGTTGTTTTATCTGCTGGCATAAGAGCACAAGCCCACGGATGAAGACTGGAGAGGAAACTGGTCATTCAGACTTTGCATTGAGTAAATTATCTGCAATATCAAGTAACTCAAGGGCTTCATTAAGTTTCCACGCGAATTTTCCTGCCTGGGTCGCCTTGAAAAGGATGCGGAGGAACGGTATATGTCTCCATGTTTCTAGAAAAAGTATTTCTGAATACCCTCCCCTGTTAGACAAACGAGGAATTCCACAATCAAGGTATATTCTGAACCAATGTTCCAAGTGCTGTTTTGAAGACAGTGAACCATAATTTGCCCGGCTCCGAGTAGAACAGAGTTTGGGAAATATTCAAGCATGAGTTTCACCTGACCCATGCAGAGTAACCTTCGAACATGGATACCTCAAGTCCGTATCAATGATCCAGTCGGACACAGCGGCGTGTTTCCCCACTGGACCTCATTGAAAGTGGAACAAATGGATATAAGGTCAAAAGAATAATTACGTGCAAATATGAACGACATATCACAAGTTGGTGCTCTGTTTTCAAGTATTAAAACGAATGAATCTGCAAGCACTTGGTCACCAGCCCGCCCTCTTTCTGTAAACTACTCCACTGAACGAGAACTGTACATTCACTGCGCATGAATGGATGTAAATGGAGTTCAGCTACTCTAGCTAACGACATATGCATGCATATACTGCACAGTCTTCAATAAAGACATACAGTTAACAAATGCAATATTAAAACTTGATTTGCCAGTTTGTTGTGGCTTTCAAAAACAGCGTAGAACGG